ATCCCCCCCCTCCATCTCTCAGTCCCTCGTCCCCCTCATGCTCCTTACCATTCTTTCCTCCGCCGTCCCCTCGTCCTCCTACCATCCCCCACTCCCCTGTCGCCTTGTTCTCCCCACCATTTGCCATTCCTCTGTCCCCTCGTCCCCACCTTCTCCAACTCCCTCGTCCTCACCACCAATACCCCCTTCACTGTCCCCTCGTCCTCCCTACTATCCCCCACTCCCGTTCCCTCGTCCTCCCCACCATTCCCAACTCCCTCGCACGATGCATTGCCAAATGATCTGATGTTCCCATCATAAAATTAGGAACATCAAATGATCTGATGTTCCCATCACCAAAATAAAAGAAAAACAGTTTAAAAAACAAAATGAAAAACAATGACAAAATAAATAAAAATAAACTATACTCACGAAATCAATGGTATGGGAAACAACACAGCTCAATTCCAATGCAATGTCACACAAAATAATTAAATCAAAACGATAAAAAATTGAAATCTATGAAAATACAATTTATCAATGAAATTGGAAACATTGAAATGGAATCGTAACATATTTAATATAGCGTATGTTGCTCTTACATGACACAGATTGTGCTGTTTAAAAAAAAAATCATGTTTTTATCTGTCATTGGTGTGTCGCCTAACCACTTGTGCTGGACGGTAGAACAACGGTCTCGCTTCATGCAGGTTGGTGTTGAATCCCCCGACCGTCCAAGTAGTGGGGGCACCATTCCTTCCCCCCGTCCCATTCCGAATCCTTATTCTGACCCCTTCCAAGTGCTATATAGTCGTAGTAACTTTTCACTTTCCCTTGAATTTTTTTTTTTGTCATAGGTGTAGCATCTATACTTATACTAACGAAATGAACGGAATGGTATGTTTGAATAAGCGTGTTTCTCTTACGAGCAACAGATGGCACTGTTTTTCAAAAAAAGCTTGTTTGTACCTGTCACAGGTGTGTGGCATCTGTATAGTAGGTATAAAAAAACACGCGCACATTCAAATGGAATGTTGTGTAAAAATTTCAAAGCAATCGGTAAAGAGGTTTCTAAGATTTCCCCTCACATGAAAAACAAATGAAAAACACATGAAAAAACACTTGTTCAATAAAACATGTTTTTCCCCATCATTGATGTGACATCTATATAGCATGTATATAAAAATCCGCTCGGACTCGAACTGAACATTGTGTGTAAATTTCAAAGCAATCGGTAAAGAACTTTCGAAGATTAGCGATTTTGAACATACGAACATTTACATTTCTATTTATACTAGTAGTACCCGGCTATGCGTTGCTGAGCCACAGCAACCTTCCCTGTGCCCCCAGTCCTCCCCACCATTCCCCCACCTCAATCGTCTCCTCGGCCTCCCAACCATTCCCCACTCCACCATCCCCTCTTTCTCCATACCATGCCCCACTCCCCTGTCCCTTTGTCCTCCTCATTATTCTTCATTCCCACAGCCCCTCGTCCCTACCATCCCAAACTCCCCCGTCCCCTCGTCCTTTCCAACCATTACCCCCTCCCTTGTCCCCTCGTCCTCCCCACCATCTCTCACTTCCGTCTCCTCGTAATCCCCACCATTCCCCACTCCGTCGTCCGATGCCTTCCCAAATGGTTTGATGTTCCCATCAGAAAATTGGGATTATCAATTGATCTGATGTTCCCATCACTGAAATATGAGAAAAACAGTTAAAAAATGAAATGAAAGTATGAAAAAATAAAAAAATAAACTATACTCACGAAATGAACGGTATGGTAAACAACACAATTCAATTCCAATACAATTCACACAAAATAATTACATCAAAATGAAAATAAATCAAAATCTATGAAAATTCAATTAATCAATGCAATCAGAAACATTGAAATGAAATTGTAACATATTTAGTATAGAATGTGTGTGTTGCTCTTACGTGCAACAGATGGCATTGTTTTTCAAGAAAAGCATAGTTTTACCTGCCACAGGTGTGGCATCTATACTTAAACTTACGAAATGAACGGTATAGTAAACAACACAGCTCAATTCCAACACAATGTTATACAAAATAATTCAATAAAAAATCAAATAAATCAAAATCTATGAAAATAAAATTTATCAATGCAGTCGGAAACATTGAAATGGAATTCGTGACATATTTAGTATAGCGTGCATGTTGCTATTATGTGCAACAGATGGCGCTGTTTTTCAAAAACGTATGTTTTTTCACTTCGTTTTTTTTAACTGTTTTTCTTTATTTCGATGATGGGAACATCAGATCATTTGAAGTTCCTAACGAGGGGACAGAAGTGTGGGGGTGGATGAGGAGGCGGTGAAGAGGGTATTGGTTTTGAGGACCAGGGGAAGGGGGAGTTAGGGAAGGTGGGGACGAGGGGACAGGGGAATGGAAAATGGTGGGGAGGACAAGGGGACTGGGGAGTGGGGGATGGTAGGGTGAACGATGGGACGGGGGAGGGAAGAATGGTGTGGAGGACAAGGGGGACGAGGAAGTGGGAGATGGTGTGGAGGACAAGGGGGCGGTGGAGTGGGGGATGATGGGAAGGACAAATGTACTGGGGAGGGATGGGGGAATGCTGGAGTAGACGACGTGATAGGGGAGTGGGGAATGGTTAGGAGGATGATGGGAAGGACAAATGTACTGGGGAGGGATGGGGGAATGCTGGAGTAGACGACGTGATAGGGGAGTGGGGAATGGTTAGGAGGACGATGGGGATGGGGGAGGGGGGAATGGTGGGGGAGGACTGGGAGACAATGGGAAGGTTGTTGTGGCTAAGGAAAGCACATGTGTTGTTGAGCCACATGTGTTGCTGAGCCACAGCAACGCGGGGCCGGGTACAGCTAGTAATAATAATAATAATAATATTATTATTATTAATAATAATAATTTTTATTTACAAGAAGGTACAATGGGTTTGTAAAATTACATAATATTGGTATTTTTACATTGCTGCAAAACCACTAACATGAATAGCATTTCGGACAGGTCCTTAATCTAACATATCTAGAAAGATGAAAAGGTACATTGTAGCAAAATTTTATGTCAACATAACACTTCAATATAAATTGAGAGAGGTGATTACACTGGTGAAGATGTGTGTTTTAAATACTGTACTAATACTGGAAAGTGGGTAGTACAAGATTCAGTGTGAGTTTGAAGCACAAGTTAGGAGACTTTGAGGATGAAATTAAGTACTTTTTAGTTTTACTTTTGAATAAGGCATAGGTTGATTTTTTGTTAATTCATTAGTGAGTGAATTCCATTTACTGAGTTCTTTTAATTGCAAGGAGTGTTTGCACAGATTTAGTTTGACTCTAAAGATATCAAAGTTATATTTTTTTCTGTTCTTGTGCTCATGGGTTCTATTACATCTATCAAGGAAAACTTTCAGATCATAATAATATTAATTATAATTTTTATTCAAATGCATGTGTATACAGAGAACATAAGTCTAAGTAGTTAACAAAACCACACATTAGAAATTGAAGAGACAACGACGACGTTTGTGCATCCCATACTCATCCTGTGAGTGGTAGTATACTGTGCACCCCACATACTCATCCTGTGAGTGGTAGCATACTGTGCACCCCACATACTTATCCTGTGAGTGGTAGTTTACTGTGCATCCATACTCATCCTGTAAGTGGTAATATACTTTGCACCCCCCATACTCATCACGTGAGTGGTAGTTTGCTGTGCAACACATACTTATCCTGTGAGTGGTATTATACTGTGCAACACATACTCGTCCTGTGAGTGGTAGTTTGCTGTGCAACACATACTCGTCCTGTGAATGGTAGTATACTGTGCACTCTATCTTGAGGTTATCTTGAGGTTATTTCAGGCCCGGTCCTCGACCAGTCCTCCATTTTGTTACACTCCACCAGGAACTAGCCTGTAGCAGCTGTCTAACTTCCAGATACCTGTTTACTGCTAGGTGAACAGGGGAATCAGGGTGAGAGAAACTGCCCATTTGTTTCCGCCTCCACATGTGATCGAACCTGGAACAGCAGAACTACGAATCCTGAGCGCTGTCAACTCAGCTGTCATGCACCTATACTAATATCAATACTCATCCTATGAGCAATAGTTTATTGCACACCCCATTATTATCATCCTGTGAGTGGTAGTTTACTGTGCACCCAATTCTCAATTCTGTCAGTGGAAGTGTACTGTGCACCTCATACTCATTCTGTGAGTAGTAGTTTACGGTGCACCCAAACTCATCCTCTGAGTGGTAGTTAGCTGTGCACCCAATACTCATCCTGTGAGTAGTAGTTTACTTTGCACCCCACACTCATCCTGCGAGCAGCTTACTCTTCACCCAAAATCATCGTGTGAGTGATAATTTACTGTGCACCTGTTATAATCCTGAATGTCGCTGTGCTCTTGCTACCTTCATAGATATTATAATCACCAAAAAGTATTATATTGCAAGCCTATCTATGGGGAAGGGGGGGGGGGGTGAAAACAATACTATATTAACGATAACAACAGTTTACTTATAAGGATCAACACAAAATATTATAATGTGCTTATATTCAACATTAAAGAACACACACACAATCATATAAGTATTATTTCTTAATGAAACTGCCAGACGGATTAAACACCATAGAGCTAAAACACAATCATACACTACTTAACTGACATTAGATGTTTCCAGCAGGCCTTCCCACTTGTTACTGTGGGTCCAGGCGTCGCTACTCCCTCACAGAGATGATGTCTCCCTCTTTACATCTCCCTCTGGATCCTCTTTACAGTCTTCTGCTCTCTTCGAATCTTCTAATAGTTCTCGTGTAATGACACTCTTTACAGTTCTATTGATAGGCCAAGATTGTGTTCAACATTGTGTTTATATACTGCAAGTTTAGCAAGGGCGTCAACAGTGTTATGTTTCGGTACCTCAGTGAGAGAGGGGACCCACAACAACTTAGCTGACCCCCCCTTGGTAAGCATGCACGTGTGTCAATGACCAATAACTCGAGTCCACTCAGCAGGTGTGTCAAGATGGGCGCCAGGCACAGCACCAGGAACCGTTCCCACAGGTCGTCCGGCCGCTACAGTTGCTCCGGCCAGGCAGACCTCCCACAACATCTTGCAACTGTCGGTGTTTATAAAGGATTTGAACTCCCAGATACCTATGGTGAGGTTTGCTCCCAGCCAGGAGGCAGGAATAAGGAAGACTGTCAGCCAGGGGACATTAATAACGAAGACTGTCAGCCAGGAGAAAAGAGTCTTGGGTTGAAGGCTTCCCTCTCGGTTAGGAAGGATGACGCAGGTTTCCTGTGGGACAAAAGTGGAGAGGACCCGGGACCCGAACAAGAGAAGAAGGATAACTGTCCTCCAGAGATCACCGGCCAGATACATCTCGAGACACAAGGCCCAGTGACCATGAAGATTATCGTAGAGGACTGGAAGGGGTCCAGGGAGGAGGTGACTGAGGTCCACAAGGTACTGCAGATGACCAAGAGTCTCACTAGGAGAGGTAAGTCCTTACCATTACACTCACCTATCTCAGATATGGGCTCTCCCCTCACACACTCATGGACTCTCCCCTCACACACTCATGGACTCTCCCCTCACACACTCATGGACTCTCCCCTCACACACTCATGGACTCTCCCCTCACACACTCATGGACTCTCCCCTCACACACTCATGGACTCTCCCCTCACACACCCATGGACTCTCCCCTCACACACTCATGGACTCTCCCCTCACACACTCATGGACTCTCCCCTCACACACTCATGGACTCTCCCCTCACACACTCATGGACTCTCCCCTCACACACTCATGGACTCTCCCCTCACACACTCATGGACTCTCCCCTCACACACCCATGGACTCTCCCCTCACACACTCATGGACTCTCCCCTCACACACCCATGGACTCTCCCCTCACACACTCATGGACTCTCCCCTCACACACTCATGGACTCTCCCCTCACACACTCATGGACTCTCCCCTCACACACTCATATGGACCCTCCCCTCACACACTCATGGACTCTCCCCTCACACACTCATGGACTCTCCCCTCACACACCCATGGACTCTCCCCTCACACACTCATGGACTCTCCCCTCACACACCCATGGACCCTCCCCTCACACACTCATGGACTCTTCCCTCACACACTCATGGACTCTCCCCTCACACACCCATGGACTCTCCCCTCACACACTCATGGACTCTCCCCTCACACACTCATGGACTCTCCCCTCACATTCACATTGAATCTCCCCCCTCACACTCCCATGGACTCTCCCCTCACACACACATGGACTCTCCCCTCACACACTCATGGACTCTCCCCACACACACTCATGGACTCTCCCCTCACACACTCATGGACTCTCCCCTCACACACTCATGGACTCTCCCCTCACACACCCATGGACTCTCCCCTCACACACTCATGGACTCTCCCCTCACACACTCATGGACTCTCCCCTCACACACTCATGGACTCTCCCCTCACACACTCATGGACTCTCCCCTCACACACTCATGGACTCTCCCCTCACATTCACATTGAATCTCCCCCCTCACACTCCCATGGACTCTCCCCTCACACACTCATGGACTCTCCCCTCACACACTCATGGACTCTCCCCTCACACACTCATGGACTCTCCCCTCACACATGGACTCTCCCCTCACACACTCATGGACTCTCCCCTCACATTCACATTGAATCTCCCCCCTCACACACTCATGCACTCTCCCCTCACACACTCATGGACTCTTACACTCCTGCATAGATTCTCCCCCTCCCCCATCGATGGACTTCCCTCACATACACATGGAAACTTCCCCTCACACACACAAGTTGTCAAGAGGTAGTGGAGGGATGTGGGCTGGGAAGATCCAGTGTCTTCTATTAATTTGGGAGGGTTAAACGTTTACATCCCAGAGAAAAGTGCGGACGAGTAAATGATTATCTGGTAAACTGATACAAACCATAAGAAAGTGAAGAAAGTAGAATTAATATATTTGAAAATAATAGTTACTGGGGTGTGTTACGGTATCAACACCATCGCCGGAGTTGGGAGTGGCGATTTCGGCGCCATCTATGGACCTGCACTCCAACTCCCAAGTATTAGGCGACACAAAGACAGCGCCATCTGTTGGCGGTGGGGCGTCGGTGCAAGGCTCCTGTTTCATACCTCAGTTTAGAGGTCATCAATGATGATGACCTCTGGTGGATGGCATAACGGTATCTAGGTTGTGAATACAATTATAGTTTCAGTTCAGGTGAAAGAGTTTTATCCCAAGGCCACCCAGTATACTGTCTGTCTAGCTAATGACGTTTATGTTCACAGAGGTGATGTGAGGAGGCGATTGCGCTGAGAAGGGTAGTCCACCTTGGGCAGTCCAAAACTCCTGACTTGGTCCTGTATGAGGACAAAGTGGCTACCATTGGTAGTAGCTGTGTGTTAGCTGCTGGATTTATGCAGTGTTGTATGGACTGACGTACTCGGGATTTGGCGAAGAAGAGTTACAAGGCGACAGTAGTGCGTCTGTTGAGAAGTGCTGTTGCTAGAGACTTCTGGCAGGGTGTTAGTTACTTTTGTACGTGATTATTCGAGACCCCTGTCAGCGTGTTGCTGAAACCCTCCACCAGTGTGTTTCTGGAGAGTGGATGTGGGGTATTGGGACATGGTGATGATACGGTAAGTGGACTGGCCCATGTTGAGGAAGGTGAACTCACCGGTGATAATCATTGAGTGTGGAAGATATGTACCTGGACGTAGTGGACTTGCCGGGATTTGATGAACACTGTGGATCTATTGAGTGTCCTGAGTGAAAGCGACACAGTGTAAATACATGAAGTAATACTTAAAGATATATATAATATATATATATATATATAATATCGGTGAAGGTGATAATATATATTGGTGAAGGTGTAATTGCATATTGTTTATCCCTCTTTATTCTTTGCACTACCACTCGCCACAGCCAGTTCTTAAAAACTTACCATTGACTTGGGGTAGGATCAAGAAAAAGTTATTAGACATGTTAACAGAAAGAACCCGGTTACTGGCCCTAGCTGACCGTAAGAGGGTAAAGTAGACCAATGGTGAGGCGAGTTGACCTCACACCGCTATCGACCTCACCTGCTCCTACATCACCTCTGTGAGAAGACGCCTGGGTACACCCACCCCTTTTGCAAGTAGACCGAGTAAGATAATTGAGACGAATCTTGGCTAAGGTAGTTTACTGCAATGCCAAAATCAGGAACGATGACCAGGTCAAGCAGTAGCAGGGAAGAGGTTAGGTTTACAAAGGTGACAGGGAAATGTGTTGAGGAGGAGCGATTGGATGGAGGATTTGAGTCTGGAAATTAAGAGATATTTCAACACATACAAGATGAGCTTGAGAGACAAAAACCAGGGTTTGAGGACAATATTCAGGGAGAAATCAGGAAGATGAGGGACGAGACGGAAGCCAAATGTACAAGGCTTGCCAAGGAGTTGTCAAGGCATGAAAAGCAGCATGGATGGGGATATTGGATTAGTGGGGGATGGATTAGCGAGTATGGGAGAGACAGCATCTCTCCCACTCGCCTCTCCCCTACCTTTAAAACCCTTGCTCCTCCCCACTCCCATCTTAAGCCCCCCTCCTCTCACTTTCCCACTTTCTACCAAAAAACACATTCCTACTCCTGCTTTCCCCAGCCCCTGGCACACCCTCGTTCTGACTCTCAGCCTCACTCCACCTCTAAGACCCTACCTCTCAGACCCATTACGCCCTTCACACCCCCCTAGCTGCCCAGACCCCATCCATCCCACAGATTCCCCTAGTTGCCCAGATTCCATCTACCCCCGAGACCCTGGCTCCCAGAGCCCCTCTGCCAGACATGAATTTCAAAACGCAACATGTGAAGGAAGACAAGGAAAAGAGGAGCGGATACGCCGTTCCTATGAGGCCTATCTGTCACTAAGAACTAGGAAAACATTGCGAATTTCGAACACGAAATACCCCTAGGTGTAAGTGATCATTGTGTACAAGTCTTTGACTACATGATTGAGCTTAAAACTGTGACCACGGATCAAGAGGTCTGGGAAAGGAGAGTAGACTATAAGAAATGGGATTACAGGATGAAAAAGGAATATCTGAGTGAAGTGCAGAGAGAAGAATAATTTAGAGGAAAAACAGTGCAAGATATGATGGACCTAGTAAAGTGATAATGCGAGAAGGCTGAAATGAGTTTTATACCAGCAGTAAGGGAAAAAAGTAGGAAGGAATATAATTACCGAATGGTTTAAGAGACAGTGCCAAGGAGCATAAAATGAGAAGCAGAAGGGAGTTTCCATGTAGAGTTCACAATCGACCCTGAGCAGCTCTTATTGTTAGAAGAGAAGATGACCTGAGATAGAAGACTATCATATATACAGTGACAGCAGACGGGGTGATGAAACACCTACAGTGACAGCAGACGGGGTGATGAAACACCTACAGTGACAGCAGACGGGGTGATGAAACACCTAACAACACTGGATGAAACTATAGCAGTTGGACCAGAGAACGCATCACCCTGGATACTAAAAGAGGCAACGAAGGCCCTAAGTTGGCCTCTAGCAAGGATCTTTAATGAGTCACTTACGAAGGGAGCGTTGCCCAGTTGCTGGAAGAAGGCAAATGTGGTATCAATTTTCAAGAAAGGAGATAGGGAAGAAGCAAATAAGTACCGAACAGTATCACTGACACGCATCCCCTGTAAAGTACTTGAAAGAATAATTAGGTTAAGGCTAGTTACACACTAAGAGAAAATTAAGTTTGTAAACAAACGCCAACAGGGGTTCAAACAAAAGGAAATCATGTTTAACAAACCTGGAATTCTATGATAAAGTAATAAGAATAAGGCACGATAGGAAAGGAAGGGCAGACTGCATATTTCTTAACTGTCAAAATGATTTTGATACAGTACCGCACGGGAAACTGCCATTCAAACTTGAGAGGCTGGCATAAGCGGAAAGCCCTAGCATGGGTATGGGAATACTTAACAGGCAGGAGCCAGAGAGCAACAGTAGTGGTGAGAAGTCTGACTGGCGAACTGTAGCGTGTGGAATACCTAAAGGATCGGTGCTGGATCCAGTTCTATTTCTAAGATATATAAACAGCATGTCTACAAGAGTCCGTCCTATATGTCGATGTTCGTGGATGACTCAAAAGTAATGAGATGAGTAGTGACAGATGAGGTTTGTAGAATCCTCCAATAAGACTTGAGCAAGCTGCAGAGGTGGTCAGAGAAATGGCTACTGGAGTTCAACATGAGCAAGTTTAAAGTTATGGAAAGGAGTCTAGGTGAAAGGAGACCAAATGGTCAGTACGCAATAAACGTGAACTACCTACCTGTGATGATTTGAGTGTTAGCACTCAGTGTTACGTGCACTGGGAGTGAACGTAACACCAGTTCTAACTCCTGAGGCTCATATAAATCAGATAACAATATCAGCAAACTCTATACTAGCA